TCTGCTGTGCTCGTGCGCGCACACACAGATACATCGGCTCCGAGCACGGCCAGTGGCAAACCCAAGTCCTCCGCCTCCCCATGGCCCCGCTGCCCTCCTCTCGGGACCGAGCCCCTCTGGCCAGTGCCCTGTGCTGCCAGGTCCCTCGAAGTTGCACCCCCGCCAGGTGCTTCCCTTCCCGGGGACAGACAGAAGGACCTGGCAAAGGGAGAGGCCCAGCCCCTTCCCTTGTGCCACTGCCAGCACTTCTGGCGGGCAACCCCTTTGGGACCCGACGGGCCAGCAGCACCCGCACTCCAGTGGGGTCCCAGGCGGTGCGGCGGGCAGCAGCAGCAGCCCTCGAAAGCCCGGCATGGTGGTCCTGCCCCTGGTTCCCCCGCCGCACACCTTGCACCCGAAGCAGGCAAGCCCTGGAGCTGGTGGCGCTGTGGCGTCTCCTCCGCGGAGCCGACTGGGCTGCTCCGGTTTCCCTGCCCAGGGCTGCAGCTCCAAGAGGCACGGCGGCGCTCAGCCCACATGCGGTGCTTCCGTGGAACAGGGTCGTGGAGTGGGGGGGAGCCACGCAGGCTGAGAGGCGACCCCAGGCCACGTGTGAGTGATCCAGCCCTGCCGGCAGGCCGGATAAATGTTTTCGGTGGGCCGCATGTGGCCCGCGGGCTGTAGTTTGAGGACCCCTGGACTAGACCATATCAGGTTCAGGGCTAGTCAATTTCAGGCTTGTGGAAAAGCTGAAGGATGTTTGTGTGGTGCAGGCTATGGATGAGCAATTTCAGGAAGGCAGCCTTGCATTTTCCAATCCGTTTTAAAAAGGCTACATGAATAGCCATGCAATATCCCTCAGCACTGCACAAAAGAGAAAAATACTGTCGTCTTAACAGGAGGATTAAGGGAGGCACAGGGCAATATGCTGAACACATAGCTGGTGCAGGTTTTTATTTTTAAAAACTGTACTAAAAGACAATCGCAGAAAGACAGTAACAATGGGAAAGAAAATGTACTGCCTATTTATGGCTAAGAAAATGTACTGCCTATTTATGGCTAAGATGCAATGCCAAAAAAGAACTGATCCTTTTGGGGGGGGGGGTGGAATTTAAAATTGCATAGAGAAACACCTCTGATCCAACAGAAAATAAGCAAGGGAGTAGCTGAAAACTAAGCAGAGAAGCCCTGACCTGGATAGCCCAGGCAAGCCCAATCTCATCAGATCTTAGAAGCTAAGCAGGGTTGGCCCTGGCTAGTATTTGGATGGGAGACCTCCAAGGAATACCAGGGTCGTGAAGTGGGGGCAGGTGACGGCAAGCCACCTCTGAATGTCCTTTGCCTTCAAGTCCCACTACAGGTCACCAGAAGATGGCTTGATGTGATGGCAAAAAAAGGAAAAGAAAATTAAGGAGACAGACATATGGACTTGTTTCCTGTGCCCCTCCCAATACACCTGGTCACCCTTTGGTGAGACTGCTATGGCAATATGTACACTTCCTGGCTTCAGTATGTGCAAATGCATTCCCTTGAAAAACCAGGTTTCTGATTGCATGAATGGAAGCTGGAAAGAGGCACGCTGCCCTGTTCGTACAAAACGGTAACCATGTGTATAGGGAGAAATGTGCAACACACTTGTCTCCTTGAACAGTTGAATTGCAAAAATTGCAAGGGCTGAACATGGATAGAAAGAAACCTTATCTCTACCTCGAGCCGTGGTAAGAAGACAGGCCCAGAGTTCCAGTGTAAGACACAGCAGGGTTATGGACTTCAAGGACAGAGAGGCCTGTCGGTAGACATAGGACCCTTCTCTCCCCCCCCCCCATGCATATAGGAGGTGGACAATACTAATTGCAAGACCAGCCTTGGCTTCTAAACAGCAGTGGAAGGGCCCCATAGCTCTTAATGAGTATCTTTGGGGGGAAACTGTATGGGGTGATTTTATGCAAGGCATCTGTGCCATCCAGGTTGGAATGAAACTGTTCTCCTTAAAGCAAGTGGAGATGAACTACAGCTGCTCACTGCTGGCAATCACTCCATCCATGCTCGAAGGCAGGGCTTTTTGTAGAAAAAACCCAGCAGGAAGTCATTAGCATAAGCCACACCCAACACCAGAAACTCATTAGCATATTAGGCCACACCCCTGCCAGCACAGCTCATTAGCACATTAGGATGCACCGCCGTTACCAGAAGTGTGGTTATCCAGTCACACCCACCTTTTGCTTGTTATTCTGTTTACCTTGTTTGTTGTCAAAACCCAGGGGTTTTTTTTGTAGCAGGAACTCCTTTGCATGTTAGGCCAAACACCCCTAATGTAGCCAATCCTAATGAGTTTCTGCTGTTGGGTGTGGCCTATTATGCTAATGAGTTCCTGCTGGGCGTGGCCAACTTGGGAGCCAGCCGGATTTCCGTTCCTGTGCGTTCCTGCCCAAAAATAGCCCTGCTTGAAGGTATAGAAGACCGTATCATCCCAACTTCTTTAAAAAGACAGCTCAGACTGGAAGAGGTGGTGTTTGAACGGCATCACCGGAGGAACAGGGACTTTGTAAGATCCACACCCCCCACCCTGTTTACAGATCTCTGATCTTCAGGCACTGGCTGTCTGCTGGCTCACCCTGGATTTAGCTCCGATGTTTCTTTCCAGCTGCTTTTCTGGAGTCAGGATGGGAAATCAAGCTGATCTGAAAGAGGGCCAGAGTCAAAAGAGCCCCCAGAGTGTCAAAAAAGCAGGACACAAAGGTAAAAAGCAGTGCAAATGCAGAAGCTGGCGGAATTCTAGTCTCTGTTGGGACACTTTTTTAGAGTCACCAAGTAAGAATAAGCAACAGCATTTGAAAATTTAAGTTTTTTTTCTAAAAAATTGAATAATCTGAAATAGAAGGAGCAGCATTCTTAGGCAACACTAACTGCAAAAGTTAACCTCTGTTTCAGGGGTGTATAAACAGTAGCTCAGGAGCTAGAATGGAATGTTTGAGAGGTGAAGTGCAGCTTCCAGGCTAACACACTTTGAAGCTCCCACATCTGTCAGGCATCTTTTCTCTGAATGTCTCCAGTGATTGGTCATTTTCCTCTACACATGGAGCAGCTGTTGGCTGCCTCACATTACCTGCTTGTTCCACGGGTAGTCGTTGCCCGTGATCGGCTGTGGTGCTGAAGAAATGGAGTGTGCCAGGATCTAACAATACCTTTAAAAAATGTTGGTAGCCTGTGGAGTGAAATGAAGATCAGCAGTAGTGGACTGCTCCCTCACCCATTTCTGTTTGCTTAACTACCTTGTCGAAATGGCTTCTTGAGGAGGGGGCAGGGGAGACCCCCCTCCCCTCCCTGGATGGGAGACCCCCAGGGTGTTGCTACTTGCAAAAGAAAGGAAGGAACAGTTTGCAAAAAGGGGAATGTTATGTATGCAGCCTGCCACACGGCGGCCGCAAGAAAGACAGGAGCATGGCTCCAGAAAGACAATGGGACCTAGGATCCTAGTTCCCCCCCCAGCTGACCAATAGGCTTCTTGGCGGGAAATTCAAACCCTCCAATGGAGTGGGAGGCCTGGGGACGGGGGTGTATATAGTTGGCCTTGCAGGGCCGTTGGTTGTTCTTATGTTAAGTACGCAATAAATGTGTGCAACTGCATGTCGTCGTCCGAGTCCTCCATGCGGCGAACCCAGTACTTTTCAGTGGCGACGAGGATGGGATCCCGCTGAGTCTGGCCTGGCTCGCCCCAGCGCATCGCTAAGCTCCGTTCCTGCCAAGCTGCGCCCCGCATCGCGCAACAGCCGCACCACACCGCGCTCCGCAACGAGGAACCACAGCCCCGCGCTACCGCTACGCCATGGCCTCCAACCAAGGAAACCTGGAGATCCTTGATCCAGCGCAACCCAAACTCTGGGACTCCTGGACCGACCAGCTGACATGCTACCCCGAGTACAACGAGGTCACCGACGCTGGCAAGAGACGTGCACTGCTCCTGAGCTCCTGCGGAGTAACAACGGTCCGCCTCGCCAAAAGTCTCCTCGCGTCCCGGTCTATCCTGGAATGCACCTACGAGGAGATCATAGAGGCCCTCACCAAGTACCTCACGCCCCGGCCGACAACGCTAGCCAGGCGGCTGGCTTTCCAGGGCCGCGTGCAGAAACTGGGCGAGTCGGCCGCAGCCTTCATGGCCGCCCTGCGCCAGCTGGCGATGGACTGCTCCTTCACCAAGGTGGAGGAGAACCTGCTAACGCAGTTCACGTGGGGCCTCGGAGACCTCAAACTACGGAGGAAGATGGTCGGGACCGCCGACATCAAGCTCGAGGCGGCCCTACAACTGGCCATCGCGCACGAGGACTCCCACCGCCAACCGTCAGCAGCGCACCAGGTCCTCCTCCGGGGGCTTCAAAAAAAGAAAAGAAAAGGTCAAACTAGCAATAATTACAGTCTTCATAGGTGCTGCGGTGGCTCAAGTGGTTAAGATGCTGAACTGCAGGCTGTGGAAGGTCGGTAGTTCAGCAGTTCGAGACCCAAGTGCCGCATGACAGAGTGAGCTCCCGTCTCTAGTTCCAGCTCCTGCCAACCTAGCAGTTTGAAAGCAAGAAATTGCAAGTAGAGAAATAGGTACCACTTCAGTGGGAAGGTAACAGCGTTTCATGCGCCTTGGTGTTTAGTCATGCCGGTCACATGACCACGGAAACGTCTTTGGACAGCGCTGGCTCTTCGGCTTTGAAACGGAGATGAGCCAGAGTCGGATTCCCTAGAGTCTGATTCCCTAGAGTCTGATTCGACTGGCTTTCAAGCAAGGGAACCTTTACCTTTTACAGTCTTCATATTGTTATAAGGTGGGGGCACCGGTTTAAAAAAAAGGCACGGAAGTGCCTTCGGCTCTGGAACAGCCAGAGCTCAGTCAGTTTGACCACCCCTGCCCCAGTGAGTCGTTCAATGCCTAGAAAGGGTCACAAATATGGAAACAGGCCCCTGCCTGGAAAACCTTACAATCGACATTTCAGCAGTGTCTTATGACAACACAGGCATACTGAAAAACAGCAGATGAAGAGGAACTGTATTTTAGTGAAAAGGTAAGGTGATTAAAGTGGCTTTTCAAGGGGAGTGTGGCTTTTCGAGGGGCAGAACAGACTCTGGAACAGTTCCAGGTGTGAGAAGCCACAACGAATGCTGGTAGAGGAGCAGGGGATGTTCTGATTGGCTGGGTGGGAGTACAGTAGGAGGAGTGCAGAACAGAGGCATGATGGAAAATAAGACCAAAAGCAAAGGAAGGCAAGTCCCATTGAAAATCCTGCCCTCCCAGAAAGTTTTAAGTATAACTCCAAGCATGGTGGGCTGCCCAGTAATACAAAACAGTCCCCACTGCAAATTTATCCTTTGCAACTGTGAGCTCTTCCTTTTTCTTCTCCAAGTTGCAGATCTTCAGAGCTTGCTGAGTGGCACCTCCCCAGGTTCTCTCTGGAGCCTCCAGACCACCCGGACCCTGTCAGCCACCCTGTCCAGTTCCCGGAAGCCACGCAGATCTCTGCTGCGGGTGTATTCCGAGAGAGCTGGCTGCAGGACTGTAATAGGAAGGCTGAAGTTCAGGTGGGGGTACGTGGCGCCGATGCTGCTATCCCTTGTGTTGCTGGCAACGATTCCTGAAACGGGAGGGGTGGAAACAAAGTTTTAATACTCCACTTGCTGTCAAAATCTGAAGCAAAAGAAGGCCACTTCTGCTATATACTAAATATTAAACCAGCGAGAGATGCCAGGAAGATCTGCACAAATTGGAGCAGAGGGATTTAATCACAGAAGACAGAACACTAAATCTTCTGCGGCGTCTTGGCGGTAGATCTCACAGGAGCAGAGTAGCCGTCAAGCAACAAGACCACTGCTAGCTAGATTGACCATCGCATGAAAAGTTCCTGAGACCCACAGCCCCCGTTGGGGAAGGAGGACCAGTTGCACTGAAACACCTTTGCAAGGGCCAGTGAATAGCCTTCATTTGTATATTAGGAGGCACGAATGTGCCGGCAGAGCTTTGGTTGCCTATTATTAAACTGTCTAACTAGCATTAAAGTGCCAAAATCAATCTCTTCAAACTGGTTCTTGGGGGCAAAGGTGCTTGTATTGCACTATGTGCAGAAAGGAGCCAGCCCCTATGCCCTGCTGGGAGCCAGCCCCTATGCCCCCCTCCATTTTTGCCAGCTTTTAAATTTTACACATCAAGAGCTAGAAACTCATCTTCTTGAAAAGAAAACTGCAATTCTACAAGGAACAAATTCTACCTCAGCACCAATTTCTACATTTGCATAGGGAGGTAAGGAAGAAGAGAAAGTGGTCAGATACCAAGAAGTTCCCCGCTGTGTGTGGCAAAGAGAGCCCCTCCGCTGGAGCCGCCGTGAACAGCACAGGTTGCCTGAAGCATCACAGGCGTCTCCTCCACCGTGATCACTGCTGACAAGATCCCTGATGTTACCGATGGGCCACAAGCCTGGCCGAAGGCGCCAAAGCCGACCATGCTGACGTCTTCTCCTAGTGGGGAAAAAAGCACAAACCACCAAAGTCACACAAAAGAACACACGCAGTGGGGAACTTCTTGGCATACAGCCACCTTCCCAACAGTGGGAGAGAGACAGAGAGACTCCTGGGTGGGAAGAGTTTAAGGAAGGGTCAAGTCCTATCGCGACGACCACAGCTGAACACAAACAGACTCTGCCTAAAGTGAAAAGCAGCAGAAATGGGACCAACACGTAAGTCACCAGACTCAAATGACCCCCGCCCACACAGCGCAGTCTGGACACCAGAACACCCCAGCTGCTTAACACACACACACACACACACACACACACACACCCCGCTATCAAAAATACTCTGAAATGAACAGACCCTCTCCAGGTGCTGGATTCCATGCCCCAGAGTGGGGAATCTTCGGGACAAGTCAGGCACGACTCTGGAGGTTCTGTGTCTGGAAGTCTCAACAGGTTTTCTTTTTTTAAAATGGCAATCAGGTAAACCCCCCCCCCCAGTTCATATTGGGACTACAGCAAAAGGGCAGGGTGGTTTAAGCCTCTGCCCACCCCCACCCCCGTTTCCAATGCTGCTTTCCGAATCTAACTCATCACGGGGGGGGGGGGCACTCTTGGCCACGATGGGTCAGACCTCTCTTCACCAATCGGGTGGATCCCCAGGGCTGTTCTAGATGGGGGGAAAGGCAGGTGGGAGGCTGAACCCCTTCCCTGTCCTCGCTCCACAACCCAGCCAAAATTATACCCCCACTTGCCTGGCAATTGAGTTCTGAAAGACAGCGGGGAGCGCCAGACGTGGAACTCGGTTTGGTACCTGAAAGTTAAGCACTGATCTGGAATGCTGGTAAGTGGGGAGAGGGGAGCTGCTGGAGAAGTTTGACAGGGGGGGGGGGAAGGGCCAGCAGGCCAAAGGACAAACTCTCCCTCCTGAGGGAGCTTTACAATAGATGGGGGGGGCAGTTGGGGTTTCGCATGACAGCAGTGCAGAGTGGGCAGGGGGCTCTTGGGGAAAAAAGGAGTGATTTCAGATCACTTGGTCCTGCTGCAATGGTTTCAGCTGGAATATCTCAGAGTTTCAGGAGTTAATTTTCTTCCTGGTTATGCAAACTTAGCTCCAGGAGTCCCATGAACCATCACACAACTGCAAGCATAAGGTGGGGGGGGGGAGAACATCAGCATGAAACTAGCAATTCAGGCAGACATCTGGCAGCTGTTACGACGGCATATATCTGCACAGCTGGTTCATAATCACGTCTCCCCCCATTCCTAGTGAAAACTCTGACACGTCCGATGAAATGATGGTGTTCTGCTTACACGCAGGGGAATCAGCCCCTTGGCTGGCACCAAACGCCTCATCAGCAAATCGTTGGGGAGCTGGAGGATTCACATTGGGCCCTTCCCGTTGAATCAGTCTGTCAGTCAAAGCTGCAATCACCTGCGCCAGGCTCCCCTCTCAATTACCCCCGGAGGAAGGGTGGGGGGCTCCACAGGCGAGGTCTGCAGCTGGTTGGCAAGAATCTCACAGCCTCAGGGAACAGCAGCATTTCACAGGATCAGCCAATGGCTGAGCAAGAGGGACTTCAGCGTTCCAACCAGACAGGTCCCAGGACATTGGGGGCGGGGGGCTGATGGCACAGCAATCTTGCTGAATCTGAGCAAGTCCGGGACCGTTCAGTTTGTAGGTGGAAGACTGCCTAGGAGCTGCTCACGTGGCATCCCAAAGTCCGTGGGAAAAGAGCAGAATGGCCATGAAACACAACACACACACACACACACAGGGTCTCCTGTGCTGTTCCTTAGAGCAGGTGCGCAAGCACGTCTTAAAAGCATTCTCCATCTTACATGTGGTTACAGAGGAAGATAACTCCTTCCCTTCTTCAAATGTTTCCCTCATTACAGTCTCCTCTCTCCACCATCCAGGGAAAGGACTTCCCTTCCACTCAAATTGTACAATAAGGAGCCAAAAGGAGTTGCAGCTGGGGAAATGTGATGTACAGGCCAATGGCTCCCATACTCTGATTGGCTTGTTTTGGAAGATTTGGTCCTGGGGGGCAAAGGGAGACCGATTCTCCACTAATTCCAAGACCGAGGACTCAGCCTTAAACCCAGGTGGCAGCATGGGTCTCCCTAAGCTGCAGTGGCATGGCAGGAAGTCATATGACAGCAGTCATGTGACAGCAAGAAGGCTCTACCTGTGCTCCAGGGAAGTCTTCTGTCCGGCTGAGTGACCCCTCATTTGCCTTCCTGCTTCTTTTCAGCACAGGTACAAAAAAAGACCAGAAGCACACCCACCCTTGCTCTCTACACAGGTGTGCTAGGAACAGGACCTTTCAAAAACAGCCAGAAGAAGAAGAAGAAGGGGCAGCTCTATAGGGACTCATGGCCCACCTTCGGGTCCCATTTAATGTGTTGAAGACTACCACACTAGAGCCAGTTTGGTGTAGTGGTTAAGTGTGTGGACTCTAATCTGGGAGAACCGGGTTTGATTCCCCACTCCTCCACTTGCACCTGCTGATGTGACCTTGGGTCAGTCACAAGCTCTGGCACAGCTGTCCTTGAAAAAGAGCAGTTTGTGTCAGAGTTCTCTCAGCCCCACCCACCTCACAGGGTATCTGTTGTGGTGAGGGGAGTTTGTAAGCCGCTCTGAGACTCCAACTGAAGGGCGGGGTATAAATCCAATCTCTTCTTCTTCTAGAGGTTTCGTAGCCTTCTTCTAGAGGTTTCCTAGCCCCCTGCCCTGCCTACTGGGTCGGACCAGGCACGCTTCAATGAATTCTCAGGTGTTCGGGACTTCAAAAAGGCAAACTGTCTGGCCCGGCTTCAAGCAAGTTACATACATAAGAACATAAGAGACACCAATGTTGGATCAGGCCAAAGGCCCATCTAGTCCAACACTCTGTCACACAGTGACAAAAAATACCAGGTGCCATCAGGAGGTCCACCAGTGGGGCCAGGACATTAGAAGCCCTCCCACTGTTGGCCCCCCCAAGCACCAAGAAGACAGAGCATCACTTGCCCCAGAGCCCCTAGCTATACCTTGTGGCTAATAGCCACTGATGGACCTCTGCTCCATATGCTTATCTAATTCCCTTTTGAAGCCGTCCATGCTTGTAGCACCCACCACTTCCTGTGGCAGTGAATTCCATGTGTTAATCACTCTTTGGGTGAAGAAGTACTTCCTTTGATCCATTCCAACCCGACCTCTCAGCAATTTCATTGAGTGCCCATGAGTTCTTGTATTGTGAGAAAGGGAGAAAAGTACCTCTTTCTCTACCTGTTCTTTCCCATGCATAATCTTGAAAACCTCAATCATGTCACCCCTCAGTCATCTTTTCTCCAAGCTAAAGAGCCCTAAGCGCTTTAACCTTTCCTCATAGGGAAAGTGTTCCAACCCTTTTATCATTCGAGTTGCCCTTTTTCCAAAGCTATAATATCCTTTTTAAGGTGTGGTGACCAGAACTGCACACAGTATTCCAAATGAGATCGCACCATTGATTTATATAGGGGCATTATGATATTGGCTGATCTGTTTTCAATCTCACAATCCTCACTGGTTTTCACCACCTTGAACAACTTTGTATCATCCGCAAATTTAGCCACTTCACTGCTTACTCCCATCTCCAAATCATTAATGAACAAGTTAAAAAGCAGTGGACCAAGTACTGATCCCTGCGGTACCCCACTGCTTACCACCCTCCACTGAGAAAATTGCCCATTTATACTCACTCTCTGTTTTCTATTAATTAGCCAGTTTTTGATCCATAAAAGGACTTGTCCTTTTATCCCATGATTTTTGAGCTTGCTTAGGAGCCTTTGATGAGGAACTTTATCAAAAGCTTTCTGGAAGTCAAGGTAAATAATATCTATTGGATCCCCCTTGTCCACATGTTTGTTCACCCCCTCAAAGAACATTAACAGGTTAGTGAGACAAGATCTTCCCTTACAGAAACCGTGCTGAGTCTGCCTCAATAGGTTTTGTTCATCTATGTGCCTACTAATTCTTTCCTTAATAATGGTTTCCACCAATTTACCCAGTATCGACGTCAGACTGACTGGCCTGTAATTTCCCGGATCTCCTCTGGAACCCTTTTTAAAGATGGGAGTGACATTAGCTACTTTCAGTCCTCAGGAATGGAGGCAGATTTTAAGGAATGATTACATATTTTTGTCAGGAGATCCACAAGTTCACATTTGAGTTCTTTCAGAACTCTCGGATGTATGCCACCTCAATCTGGCTCAGGTCTTTCAACACCCCTCCCGAAATCAGCGGTTCTGGAGTGGGCAAGCACTTCTCATCTTCCACAGTGAAGACAGGGGCAAAAAATGCATTTAGCTTCTCAGCCATTTCCCTATCATCCTTCAGTACTCCTTTTACCCCTTGGTCATCCAAGGGCCCCAATTGTTATTCCCCAAAGGGAGCCCTGGTATTCCTCTCTAGCTTGTGGCAAGCTAATTCTGTTTAGGCAACATGGACAGTATTTAAAGATGACACGAGAATAACCTTAAGATGCCCAATGATTTTTGTCCAGGAATAAAAAGTTTCAAGCCCAAACACGGGCTTGCACATGGCTGCGCACCACAAAACAGCCTGCAGCTGAAAGCCTGGCCCCTCTGTTGAAAAAACACAGGCTCCTCTTCCACAGGAGTTGATCTGTGATGGCTCTTTGGCCAATGCAGGTCATCACGTCCTGTTTCTTTTTTTTAATTTTTTTTAAAAAGTTTTATTTTTACAAAGTATACTCACACATATACTTATAATTACATACATATATCTTGTCAGAGTCTATTACATATTCTTTTCCTTTATCCATTTGTATATCCCATCCCATCTTTCTTGAAATATTTTATCATCTTTTCCTTGTAGAATTACATTCAGTTTGTCCATTTCTGCCACTTCCATGAGTTTCATAGCTAGTTCCTTTATCGTTGGAATCTTTTCCTGTTTCCAGTATTTTGCTATTAGAATTCTAGCTTCTGTGAAAATATAGGTCAATACATATACCTCCT